AAAAAAAAAAAAGACCAAGTTTTTAGGCGAAGCACTGTTATGGAAAATGCATGCTAGGGCTGGGCGGTATGGCCCCAAAACATGCTATTTATTTTCATCCCAAATTTGATTTTTGATTTTAATCGATTTTGTTTCCCCCTTAAAGGAGTGCCTCTTTTTCAGGTGTTGAAACAAATTTGTTGTACTTCTGCTTTTTTGTAGCAAGAGCCTTCAAACAGATTTTGCAGTGAGGTGTTTGTTGCTCCAAGTCTGAGGTTGCAAAACCTAACCAGTTCCAGAAAAATGAAGAAACTGCTTTTTTGGGGAAATAGATCCTCTTTGCTTGCTGCCTTATTGTCATGTAGTGTATACCAAGCATCTTGAGGGACAGGTAGGGTGACCTCTGAACTACAGAAGCCCCAAAAAGTGCACTGGTGGGGAAAAACAATGCAGATTTTCCCAAAATTAAATCTTCATAAATGGCACATTCAAATTAATCAATAAATCGATTTATCGCTCAACCCTAACGCATGCGTTTAAAACTGATTAACTGTAGAAGATGGCTGCAATAGCTAATCAACACTAGCAACACACATTTTTCTAGCTGTTGTCAGTTTGACAAAAACAGTGACAACTTTGTTGTTTCTCAACATAAAATGGGATTAGTTTTAAAACTAGCCTTAAAGATGACAGGCAATATACATTTCTTCTAATAATATTTGACTTTATTCTGTCTTTGTTCTTAATAGTTTTTTTCTGCTTTCATTCTTTCAGCATATTTGTGTCTCAATAATAGATTATTTAAAGAAAAAAGTGCAACTTGATTGAAATGAATAGTTTTAAAGTTTAACTTGACTGAATAACATTAAAGAATCAAAAATCATCTAATGAGTCACTTCATACTGTAGCATCTGCAGAATCAGTTCTGACAGTCAGGGTTATTGTAAAAGCACATAAACCTTGTATAGAAGTGGAAGTGGAGGAATAATTTCTTTCTGTTCTTGTGGTAAAAGCTTTTAAAGCAGAAATTACAGTACAGAAAGTACAGATGAATAGACCTTGAGCAAGAAAAGGTTATGGTAATGAAGGGGTGCAGCTAATGATCAGTTGCCAGCAGTTGGCCAAGGCCGACAACGACCCGCTGGCATTTATCTGTCACCACTTCCTGAAACGTCTGCAATCAACCAAGTGACTGCTGGGCTAAAGACAGCTCCTTTTTCATAATGTTGAATTTGATTATTTAATGCTGCACTGCAAAATGATTTATGTAAAAATGTTTGAATGTTAGTGTCTTTCAGAACATTTCTAACTTCTCTTATAAAATCTCATTTTCTGGAAAAGCTTGATAGTGATGATAGATATGTCAACAAATTTATATTATTTGCATTGAATCACTGTCCATTCATTCATCCATCCATCCATCCATCCATCCATCCATCCATCCATCCATCCATCCATCCATCCATCCATCCATCCA